TTTTTTGGGCGTAACGTGCAATAAACCAATCAGAGTCTCATCTCCCATCCCCTTTAAAAGCCAGTTGCGCTCGCACCATGGCGGGTTCGCTATTTACACGGCAGAATGTAGTGATGGGAGAAACAAAGCTTTTCGAAGCACTGAATCAATTGATCCAATTGCTTCGAAAAATTATTCAATGTTTCGAAGCACTTGAAACAGCACATGCTGGCGACACCTGCTGGTGAAAACGTTGTAAAAGCATCAAGAACTCAGACCAAACTTACAAAACAAATGGAAATGTTTTTTTAGAAATACCATTTTTTATAATAAATAATAAACACTTAAATACTATTAAATATTAGTGCTTGTGTTATGTGTTTTAAGTATAATCAAACCCTAAACACACAATGAACTAAATTATTTAATTAATTAAGTGTTTTCATTAGAGCTGTCTATAAAAACCAGCAGGCAAGAGTAGTGTTATCAGTCAGGAGAAGGAGGTGGATTTAATTCTATCGTAAGCTCATTTGGTTATTTTTAAGGTATGTGATTTGTAGGTTGAAAGTACTGAATGTTTTTACAAAAATGTTTAAACTATATAGCCATCTGTGTTAAAGTGAAGTCATCCTTTGTTTAACCCACAACATCTGGCCCTGAATTCTTTATTTTTTACAGTAAAATTTTGTGTCACATGATTAACTGGGCAACCAGAAGTGGTTCATGGGTTCACTTTGAGATCAACACCCCCTAGTGGTGAACCATCGGAGTTTCTAAACGTTTCAAAACAGTGTGACGTAACGAAGCTTCATTTGTTGAAATCACGTGAACTGGCCGGTTTGACACGCGCTCCGAAACACTGATTCGAAACAAAAGATTTGCAAATGTTTCGAAGCTTCGTGAAGCAGTGTTTCGAATGCGCCCATCACTAGCGGAATGTAATTTTTCATTTTTAAAAATGTTTGTGTGCGTAATATTACACCCTGTGTGTGTAATAAGCAAAGTGTGCGCACATTGTGCACCCGCCTATTGGCACATATTACTAACGCGTTCTTTAAATAACAAAGAAAAAATATTGCGCCAGACTTTAGACCAGGTTTGAGTTGGTCTATGGCGCAGTCTATTTTCAATTCCTCAAAATAGCAACGCGCCAACAATGCGCCTGAACACACCTCTTTTTTTAGACCAGCACGCCCATGGGCGCACAAATGGGCGCAAATACATTTGCTATTTAAACAACACAGCGCAGGATGGTAAAATGAGAACTGCGTCTGGCTGAAACTAGCAAAAATACTTGCGCCGCATGTATGATAGGACCCTATGTTTTTGTTGGTCAATGGCGCAATCTATTTCAGTTGCCTCAAAATAGCAACGCGCCAGCAATGCGCCTGCCCTGAACACACCTCGTTTTTAGACCAGCACGCCCATGAAGGCAGAAATGGGTGCAAATGCATTTGCTATTTAAACAATGTGGCGCAGGACTTGAAAATGAAAACTGCATCGGGCTGAAACTAGCAAAAAAACACTTGCGTCACGCCTGGTGCCGCATTGCGCTAGGTGTATGATAGGGCCCTATAAAACTAATAGCAGCACCTTCTCAACACTATCTGTAGCACAAGCAGACATGTTATTCGCTGAAGTTTGGTATGATTTCTCATGTTTTCGAAAAGCGTCTCATGCTCACCGAGGCAGCATTTATTTGATAAATTAATTAATTAATAAATAGCAGTAATATTGTGAAATATTATTACAATTTAAAATGACCTTTTCTATTTTAATATATATATTTTTTAAATGGCATTTATTCCTGAAATGGCAAACCTGAATTTTCAGCATCATTCCTCCAGTCTCCAGTGTCACATGATCCGTCAGAAATCTGAACAAAGAATATTTCTTATTATTGTCAATGTTGAAAACAGTTGTGCTGCTTAATATTTTTGTGGAAAACCTGACACTTTGTTTTCAGGATTCTTCGTAGAAAGTTCAAAAGTACAGCATTTATTAGAAATTGTAGCAATGTGAATGTCTCTACTTTCACTTTTGATCAATTTAATGCGAAGTTGCTGAATTATTAATAAAAACATATTTTAAAAGGTTAATGTATAAAGCTCAACAGCTTAATAAACAAGAAGCTAATATTGAGTAACTTACCTTTTAAACAACATTGTTTAGTTCCTGAATGAATGTTTTTGAATAAATCAGTTGAATGAATCAATCAATGATTCAATCATAAAGTCAGCCACTTATAGCCGTAACGATGAAACCTATCGAAAGAGTTCCTAATCACTAATGCACAGACTGATGGTCTTTTACAGTATACCAAGTGATTAAACTACAGGACGCATCTGTTAATTTAAGATTTGCTTCATGATGTGATAAAACCTTTATTGAGGCTTGAGAACTAAATTGCAGGTACATTATTGAGGCTTTAGAACTCATTTACAGATTACATCTGTCTATAACCTCAAACAAACAATGCAAATGTTGATGTAGGTTGTTTATTAATAACCAAGTCACAGACTGCAGGATTAGCATCGAATTCTTGCAAAATGATCTTTAAAAAAGTGCAATACATCCTATTTTGCAGCTGAATGGTTACTGTTTTGCAACAGTGATATTTTAAAACAGCCAAACACAACAGACAGCCTAATAGCGTTCATTTAGAAAGACTGATGAATGCCAGCAAGGATGGAGATTTTGAGACTCTTGTTCTAAATTAACCATGAACAGTTTTGAAATGAGGATAAATATAGGAAATAAGCATCCCAAAAATAACATCAAGACATATTTCACAACCAGTCATCCCAAGCTAATTGCTCTATAATTATACAGGAAACAATGCATGCTGTGTCACGTTACTATCGTCACCAGATATGCGTGTTGAAATTACCTTAATGATGATCTGATTACCATTCTCAAAAGTCAAATGCCATTTTGCAACAAGAAGATCTTGATCTTGTTGAAGAAACCTATAGTAAACCTTTAACCCTCATGTTTTGCACGAGATCTGAAAGGCCTCATTATGGAAGCCCATTTCTGTCTTGGAATAAAAACAGTTAACTGCAACTTTATGCAACCGTTTTTTTTATAACAATTCTGAGTAAATAATCTCACAATGCGAGACATAAACTTGCAATTGCAAGAAAAAAGTTCAGTTCTATTTTTATTTTATTTTATTCTATTCTATTCTATTCCAGAACTATGAAATATACATTAAGAATTGTCTGAACAGGAAAAAAGTCTGACTTGTTAGATGTAAATTTGGAATTGCTAGAGAAATGTCAGAAATCTGTATTTATATCTCACAATTCTGTTTTTTTTTCTGCCACAGAATACAAAAATAAGTGAGATATAAACTTGAGAGTTAAACTCACAATTCTGCAAAGAATCATGAGAAACAAATTCAGAATTGTGAAAAACAAAGTCAGAATTGTTAGATATAAACTCAGAACTGCAAGAAAAACATTGCAGTTTATTATTTTTTATTCCATTGGGTAAACAGGCTTCCTTACCCCAAGGCCCTTTTTAACATGTCAAAAAACTTTGCAAGTATTGATAACCATAGGAAAACCTATCAAAATATTTGACAAAAGAGGTCAATTTTAAAATTACTACTATTATTTGTACACACAGATCAAACATGAAGACAAGTAAATGGCGGTTGAAAACGCAAATATCCTCTGCTTGTGTGATTTATATTTAGCATGAAATTAATCTTTCCAACCATTGTGTAATCAACAAGAACAAATCTCTTTGCCAGTTATTACTCATTCCTTCCTGTCAAAGAATGACAAGAAAACAAACAACCACCAGCAGCACTGAATATCTCTGCAGATCTAATGATCCCCATCTAAATTTCAGTCAAAAACAGCTGTCCTACACTTCGCCATCCAGCCACAAACAAAGCCACTTCTGTCACGATGATATCAGCAGAGTGGGCTTGGAGTAAATTGATCATTATCTTGGCACACCCAGAGAGCCTGTCTTTTGCTCAAGTGTACCATTTTACCCATTTCTAGTGCTATTTTCCACTCCCTCTCCAATGGAATATTCCTTTCTGTCGCCATATTTACATACGGGTTCCAAAAGGGCTACTTGACAGGATAATACTACCTCTAGAGTTGTGTCAGCTTCTGTCAGGATGTGGGGAGCGGATTACTGTGATTTCCTTAAGCAGGATGCACTTTGCTTTACTGCAGACGGCACAGCTGATTTTTGGCATGCTGATGGAAAACAAAAGCTCGAAGCCATGAGGAGTGGTCCTCTGCGCTTCCCAAAATAGGAGGGCTGAATTTCCTTCGACTCAACCCGTTCACCTGGTATCGGCAACCCGCGCCCCTTTTC